GAGCATATGTCTATAGGACTTTTTTTCTTAGTTTTTTACTCCTCTACACGCTCCCGAAGTTTTGCGATTTAATTTGGAAACACCCTGTATAATCCAATCGGCATAGAGTGCTTTATTAAAGCGTTAACTTCTGCTGAACACAGCCAACGTTAAATAGGTTTGTTTTTTATTGCTGTACTGAACATTACATTAGAATTTTCTTTCTCGCTTTGACTAAATATTAAATATATAATTTATTCTATTTTATTTTAAATACAAAGAGTCTGTACTAGTTTAGTTATAAAAAAACATCTAATATCATGTTGTTTTAAAGATATTTTAATTCTCTTTACAATCGTGTCTTGTTTTCTTTATTTAGGTGAATTCTTTTTTAAGAAACCGCATTTGGAAGTTTTAAATATAAAAAATTGTAGATTATAGTCTCAACGATATATAATTAAAAGAAAAATCTTCACAACCGACATACTTTGTTCTGCGGCAGTCGTAATGTTGCGGACATCTCGACGACGTCGATCCTGGATAAGTAAGCACTTTTTTTATATTTCTCCTCTAATATCTGCAACTGGGACGAGGAGAACGGGATGCGAGGATGATCGCCTGCTTGTCGCTTGACCCGTCTTTCAGTGAGAGATCTTCTAGGCAATCTCGGAGGTCTGTACCGAGTGTACTGAAGCCACGTGAGATCGGTCCACCGTGTAGTGCTCTCGCCAACGCGGTCGCCGCTTCGCTGTCGCTCCGCGACGATGGGAACGTACGGCGCGGGCGTGTCGCGCTTTTCCGGCTCGCTCGCACGTTCCAACGTCCGTTCCCCAGTCTTCGTTCCTCCCCGGAAATCGCACTCCGGAGACTCGTGCTGTTTTCGCGCGTCGACGTCGGCGCCGGGGAGTTCCTCCGCGAGTATACGGGCTATGCTGAAGTCCGTGTTTCTTGTCCGCGAGCCTTGTGCTTCGCTCGTCATCCCGAGAGTCTCACTAAATCCTCTAAAGGACGAACCCTTCGCTATATATACATACATACATACGTATTTTGGAGTACGTGCGAGCGGCCGAATGCACACGCCCGAACCCCGTGGGGCACGTACCCCTCTTCTCTTTTTTTTTTTTTTTTTGCGAAGCGCATCCTCTTTTGCGGGCAGATCCAAATTAGACGCATAGTTGCACCGCACGATCGTTATCGCGCTGCTCGCACGACGGGGGCCACGCTTCTGTGTACCTGTTCCATTGTTGCGGCATGCTCTTATACCAGTGTATTATCTACGATCTGACCACATCTTCTGGATACTTCCCGGGTAATAACAATGTAATTGATACTCTGTAGCAAGGGAAACGGATCGCTGATGTAGAATAGGGAACGGTTCGGGGGATCGAGAGTCCCGATTTCTATAGGGCAGATGTCCTGACGCACTGAGGCCTGTATAATTAAAAAGCCACAGGGGTCATCTTAATCCGGTAATATATCCGTCTCATTGATGTAAATATTGAACAGCGTGCGGGGAACATGGTCCGGGTATATTGTTACACTACACACGCGATCTCTCTCTTTCTTCCTATCTATCTGTGCTCTTATGTCAGATGATACACGAGTGGATCGAGAAACCGTTGCCTTGTATTACTGCTTGCTTAGAAATTTGCAATTTTGAAACCTGTCGTCCTCTTTTTATCACTTCTTCATATCTTCATTCTGGGAACCTTCTCAGGAAGAGCCAAATCTAAAACCGGATAATGCTAATTTATCGTTATATTCTTTATCATCATACTCCGTTAATATAGATTTCATTACACCCAAGCAGAACAAGTCACGATAACGTCAAAATGACATTAAAATGAATCGAAAATGATTGAAAAATATCTTTTAATAAATCATTTTGGAGTCATTTTGACATCATTTTGATATCATAATGATTTGTTGTTCTGTTTGGGCATCCTTTTCTTTTTTCTTTTTTTTCTTGTTTTCTTGTCGAATCCCGGTTGAGGTAATATTTTTTGCAATAAGCTATTTACAAATTTCAAGATGCTAATAACGTGAAATAGACGATTTAATTTAATTTAGGGATATTAGTATTATTTCAGTTTAACTGTGTTGCAAATCTGAAAAGCAATCGGCGCGCAGTCATATGTCTGAGAAAAATTTATTTGAATACATATACACTGAAAGAAAAGATTGGCTGG